ACACCACTCATCTCACACCACTCATCACACACCACTCATCTTACACCGCTCATCACACACCACTCATCACACACCGCTCATCACACACTACTCATCTCACACCAGTCATCACACACCACTCATCACACACCACTCATGTCACACCACTCATCACACACCACTCACCACACACCACTCATCTCATTCACTTTTATCGTCCAGTATCTTTCCGTCCTCTTTTCTTATCAGTCTCTACTTCTCGTTGATAGTCCTTACAAGCTGAACATGTGGGGTTATCCGGTCCATTTATTTTTGTTTTTGTGTGTGTGTGAGTGTGTGAGTGCCTGTGTGGTGGGGGAAAATGTTTAGGAATTGGCTGCGCAGGGCTCTTGACCAAACTCAAAAGCACTCGAAGCGGTGGATGACACGAGTGTCGGCCCGAACGCGGATTCTGGCAAACTGTCCCAAGAACTCAAATAGGAACTGGAACCGGCCACTCACGTTGCTAAGACTTCCCCCCAAAACACCTTGGGGTGAGAAACATGAAGTGTCTTGCCTATTTGCTTCAGAATCCAGAAGTGACATCGGACATCGCTAGCTACGACAACATATAAAACACACCATGCAACCATATGCAACCTGGATCAACATCTTCTCTTCAACAGCGTCGCGTGGCTTGACCTTGTCCCCAATCCTCACCACCAGTCCCAAGTGGCTGCCCGATAAGCAGCGCTGAGCTCTTTGGTTCGCGCCATAGCGAAAACGCGCCGCGTTGGTCGGGAACGCACGGGGTTCGCGTTGCAGCACGTTCGGAGGGTTCAGAGTGTTGGGATGGCTGGGGTAGATGCATGAGAAGCTCATCGTGACTCATGTGTGTGTGTGTGTGGCGCTCCGTATCTAGGAGTTTCAATGTTAAAATGTCCACTACAGTTTGCAGGGGGCCAGGCAGGATGCATCGTCGCCTGGTCAACGAAGCTGACGATGTATCCGAGGATGTGGAAATGGGACGCCGTTTCCATGTACCTGCACTTCTACTCAGTAATAGAAGGAAATGGTACTCGACACACTTTGTGTCGGTGCCTTTCCTTCTGTTGTCCCTTCTCTAGTCTACTCTACCCGGGCGGTTTCGCTCCCTAACGTAATTAAAGACCGCTAAGTACTCAGTAAAGGGCTACTGCGAAACAACATGTTAAACATTTTCAAGTGCACTGACTTCTTCACCTTGCCTTGCCCTCATTCCTTTCCCTGTGGATTCTGCCATTGAGAACGAAACCATTGTCTAAGTGTGATTCGCTGTGTTTTCCCACTCGGGTGCACAGTGTGATCCCCGTTGCCGGGCGTGTAAGCCATGGCGTATCACATATCGATTTCGCTTGTCTGCATTCGTGGATTATGGTTCTCGGAATATTATGTCTCACCCATGAATCAACTGATCGCAAAGCTGCCGAGCTACGGAATTGACGCCGCCGGGCATACGGTTCAAGATTTGCCACCGATTCTACCCAAGGTTTGAGATTTGAGATTTCAGAATTCAGATGCACTTACCGTTCTTTCCGTGCATTCCCAACCCCTCCCCTCCCCCCTCTTTCCTTCTTGCGGTTTCTTCGCTTGTTCGGTGTTTCTTCAGGCTTGTTAGGTTGTTCTTGAGGCTCGTTTCCCTGCCCCTCGGTCTCGCACTTTTTGCTACACCTGTCTTTTTCTCTTCCCCTCTTCGTTTTCTCTTTCTATTTTCTTTCCTTTCTAAGGCTTGTTAGGTGCCTATTCAGGTTTTGACTCCGTAATTTGCCGTTCGTTCGGCAGACCTGCGTGGAATTACGCCTATCTTTCTTTCTTCCCCTTTTCGTCTCGCTTGTTCTGTCTTTCTTTCTTTCCTTTCTAAGGCTTGTTAGGTGGCTATTCAGGTTTTGTTTCCGTAATTGGCCGTTCGTTCGGCCGACATGCATGCTCCTACACCTATCTTTCTTTCTTGCTCTTTTCCTTTTGTTTTTCTTTTGTTCATCTTTCTGTTTCTTTTTCTAAGGCTTGTTAGGTGGCTATTAGGTTTCCACCGAAGTGAGCGCCGCTAGTGCTGTGTGTGTGTGTGTGTCGCACTCCGTATCTAGAAGTTTCAATTTGAAATTTCCCACTACAGTTTGCAGGGGACCAGGCAGGATACATCGTCGCCTGGTCAAAGAAGCTGACGATGTATCCGAGGATATGGAAATGGGATGCCATTTCCATGTACCTGCACTTCTACTCAGGGCAACAAAAGGAAATGGTACTCGACACACTGTGTGTGTCGGCGCCTTTCCTTCTGTTGTGCTTTCTCTAGTCTACTCTACCCAGGCGGTTTCGCTCCCTAACTATTGCACGTAATTAAAGACCGCTAGTTCAGTAAAGGGCTAATGCGAAACAACATGTTAAACATTTCAAGTGCGCTGACTTTTTCACCTTGCCTTGCCCTCATTCCTTTCCCTGTGGATTCTGGCATTGAAAACGAAACCATTGTCTAAGTGTGTGCGTGTGTATGTGTGTCACGAACTTGTGAATCTACATTCATCCTAAGCACATTCTCATGGAGGTACACAAATGGAACAAAGCGTCCTGGTGAAGCAGTGAACCATGAGGATTCTTCGTGATTTTTTCTGAGAATGGGTGGTGCCACATGAAAATCACATCAGGGAACACCTGCCGACTTTACCATTGGAGGTGGATCTTCATAATCAGCTAGGTACTCAGTTATTTTATGTTAGAAAACAGTCGATGTCTGTTTTTGGGACAAGTAACCCGTGCGGGCGCGTGCTCCGTCGATGAAGCTGCACTCTCAGTTGTTGCACACAAGCAAGCAAACATGTGGACGTGCTGTTCAGGCACCCAGAAACATGCAAGCAACACAACATGAAAGCTTCAATTGTCGAAAGGAAAGATTACGTGTTTTGTCCTCGGTCCTTTTGATATCCTAATATCTTTGTGCCGGCTCCCAGCGCACAGCGGGTTTGCTTGTTTGTGTTGTCGTGGTCTGTCGTTGCTCTCTTTGTGTCGTGACTATTTCTGCTGAAAATAGTTTGCATCCATCGAAAAGGACGTCCCCTTTAAACCACAACGTCACCCAATCGCCTGATGGTACGTAGCTCGAAAATTTCCCCAAATTTAATGGTTTTTGAAGCCATGAAACCTCCAAATGTCCAAGAAATTTCGTTTGAACAGCACAAAATTCCGGAAGAATTTCGGAAAAAAAAGGATCACGTTTTGAGGCTTCGGTCATTTTGATATTCCGTTACCTTTGTACTGAAGCCCGGCGCACAGTTTTAAGCGGTCGTGGAGGGTTTTGTTTTTATACCTAGAGGAATCGTTGGCAGAAATTTTTGCCGAGACGCCAATGTGCCCTGATTTCAGCCAAATTCATCAAAAAGCGCGGAGTCCAACAAAAAACGCCGAGGAATATGAATACTGCCGACTTTAATGGTTTTCATTTGCTAGATTCTCAAACCAGCACTTGAGAGATCTTGCCAGTCTTACCAAGCCCTTCCCAGCCCTTTCCCAAACCAAACCACAGGGTGACCATCCACAGTTTGGGCTTACATGTGAGGAAAAAGGGATTGGCATCCACAGTTTGGATACCTTGGAATGATTGCACCTGGGGACAGAGATATTTAATCCACAGTTTGGGAGTGCTTACAAAGAACGCACTCAAAAGTGATCCAACAATGTTTGTCTAAGTCTATGCGATGCGCCTTGGAGGGGTTTTCCGGGCCTCCTTGATATTGCCCCTACTGTTTTCTTGAAAGGCCAATCCAGGCAAGCCAAGTTCTGTCTTTGCTTCTCCGGATCACTCTCCAAAGAATGCTTTACCCTTTCATGATCCAACCTCCCTTGACAAGGGTGGTAGTAGAACAGCTGCAATCCACAATTGGGTCAACAAAAAGATCTTTCCAGTGCAGCCATCCAAGATGTTGATTCACACATAGGAACCCCAACAAAGCAAAAACATGGTTACGGACAATTGCGCCGAATTGTCGGGGAATTACGCCAAATTGTCGGGGATTTACGCCGAATTATCGGGCAATTACGCCGAGATCTAGGGATGACAAAACGATTGAAAACTGCGAGCAACTTGGCTGAGACATGCTGAGACGATTTCACGCAAGGGTGCCCAATCCGATTGGTTCACGGTGAGTTTATGTTGAACTATGCATGGTCAATGCACAGTCTTCTAACTTTCACCTTGGTGATGGAATTAAATATCTCCATTCACCGGGTATGTTCAGCAGCTTTGTGCCACTGTAATGGGAAATCAGGGCAGAAGGTTGCGTCGGGCCACAGAAACCATTTAAGCATTTCCCCCGGGCCTTCTCATTTCTGTATTTTTAATAAACGGTTTCCTTGATCGGATCCATGGCTGGATTTGAGTGTTACAACGAATCCGTAAGCCAACAATGCTTGGCAAGAGTTAGGAACTCCTGAAGAAAAACACTGGGCGTGAACAGCCAGGGCGCACCTCAAGAATGCCCGGTTCACCAGGTATTTGAACCCTAGAGGATTTTCGAGCCGAGTTATCAATATGTTTTTGTAATTCAGATTGGTTCTGCATCGAATAAACCAATTAATGTGTTCAAGGACCTCAAAAACCAAAAACGCCGAGTCTATCTTGGTTTCAGCAAATTACGCCAAATGCCCCTTTTCAGGGCAAATTACGGGTAAAGGCGCTTTTTGCTGAGGTGGCAAACATTTTAGTATATTTCCTGGTACAGAATTCACCGTGCCTCGGGGGGATTGACATTTGCAACATGTCTTTCTTCTGCGGAACTGCAATTGGACTGAGTTGCACAACGATTACACTCAAACCCGGTTTTGAAAGGTCTGCGAATATTTCTGCTGCGTTCACAAAAGAAACGATGGGCCTTGCCTTTGGCATTTACTTAAACGAAACTGAAGCAATTCATGCATTTCAAACAACGTGGACATTCTTCAAAAACAGAAGCTGCAAAGGGTCTTTGCCCAGCTGCTCGTACATCACAGGCTACATCCACGCGTCGTCGTTGAACAAGAGTTCTGGATTCATGAGCGTCCGCAGCAAGTCATACTTCCTGATAAGCTGCCAGGCCTGCTCAGTCTCATTGGGCATGACATGCATCGGGCAATAGTCGTAGGCGAAGCAAAAGTGGTCTCTCTCAAGGTTGCCAGATGCACTACAGCCGCAAGTCTCCGGGCAAAACCATGCCAGGGGCAAGTAGCGTGAGCTACCTCTGCACACCAAGGAGCCCATCAAATCTTGAGGCTGTGTGGCTATAACTGGACAGCCAACTGCCTTTGCCCAGTCACGAAATTCAAGATAGATCAGTCTTGTGGCGAAATAGTCAGAGCCGTGGTAGTGGTCAACCATGGGGAAATAGTTGTCCCAGAAATGGTGCCAAGAAGGTCCAGGGAGTTGGTCCTTGCAGCCGGTCGTGAAATTGGGCGGCTTTCCGAAAAGGGGACTGAATCCGTACATGCTGAAGCCATAGGACTCTTGAATGCATTGTCTTGTGCAGCCAAACCAAGGAGTCTTCAGCAGTGGAGATGACAGTGGCTGAGTGCACCCGCAATGTCTGGGGCAAGAGTTGCGAAGCCAAATTGCTTCCATCGTGAACAACCACTCAGGGGCTTCTTCACTGCAGAAATAGGCCAGCTCTTCGCAGGTCTTTGCTCCTGGCTTGCCAACCCGCATGCCCACACCCTGCAAAACTGCAGTGAAGTCATTGTCACGGTCATTCTCACGGCAAACGTAGAACTCTTTCTTGAAATCTGGGTATACCTGATTTCTGCGAGCGGCCAGCAATCCAAATGACCCTCCCTCCCAGATTGAATACTCCACTCTCCCATTCCTTCTGGCTTCGCCAGAAAGAATTTCGTGAACTGCGGTCTCAGCATGTATTACATCTGCAGAGGGTGGTGCCCCTGTGCTCACAGAGAGTGCGGTGTACATCTGGCCAGACGTCCCAGCGATGACAAAATCAATGTCCCCTCCACACATCTCTCTCTTCACAGAGAGCATTGTCTCTCTGAGGGGCACAAGCACTGTCATCCAGGGGACCAAAAGCGCAGCCGCGAGCATACAAGCAAGGATAACATTTTCCACACTCGGCCAGCGTCGGCTCCTCCTCACTTGCATTGGCGGCAGCCTCTTGATCTTCTGCTGCATGTTGGTGGGCACCAGAGCCCGACATATAAACTCATCAATGTGGAGAACGGCCTTGTCAAGACCAACAACGACCCAAGATGAGGAACCTAAGATGTACCCAAGAGGAGGGTCCTAAAACAAAGAAAAAAAGAACAAACATTGAAAACGAGGAGAAACGCATGGGTCGGAGCGACAAGATGGGGACCGAGAAAACGGTGACACGGAAGACACGGTGCGAGTCAGGTGTGAGAAACAGATTCCAAAAGTTTCCATCGGCGATCAACTTTTTCACCCAAGAGATTGCTTCGAGGTCTATCCTATCGGAGAAACAGATGGTCGATGAATGGTCATCAAATCCGATAGGGCGCCAATCATCAGAACCTGTGTTTTGCTGTTTTCAGGGCGCCTCTAGGGCAACCGCATTCAACATGAGCTCCGTAATGGATGTTGTGTTGCCCAGCCAGATGGTGCCTGAGATCAGCAGGGCACCCGCTACCACTGCACGCCCCACACACACAAGTGTCATGATCGCGATTCGCTGCCACGACAAGCCTGAGCTGCGTGCGTAATCGAAGCGGGCAGAAGCTCAAGGGATTTTCCAAGAAAAGTGTCGGGACAACAAATATGTGTTTCAGGCTACAGGACTCAAAAACGATTTCACGCGGACGGGTTCGCCTCTCTCTCTCTCTCTCGCGTTATCTTCCTGATGGCTTGTCCTGGAGATACACACAACTTCATTGGATTCAGAACATGTGCAGGTAACGTGCTCACCATTGCTCACCTGCTCGTACTTCAGAAAAAAAACGGGAGAGTTGATGTCATCTCACCTAGAAGCCTTTCAACGCCGAGGTGGATGCCCCAGCGCTCAGCAACATGCCTCTCAGAACATACCAGACGCTCCGGAGCTCGCTAAAGATGCAAATGTTCCAAAGAAGGATGCAAAGAAATGCCAGCAACATGCCAGGCCTCAGAAATGCAGGCAAAACCCCCAAGAACTTCTTAGTCTTGAATTTTCTGCAGCAAACGGCATCTACATATATTTCTTGCCCGGGAAACAGGTCAAAACGGCTCGCACTTGGTTTGACTTGGCGAGCCCAGCAAGTGGCTGTAGTGACATATCCGGCCCCGGACCGATCCAGGATGTGCCGAGAGACTGGAAATTGGGCAGCTCAAAGGACAACTTCTCAAGTCCTAAGTAGTTGTTGATCTCCACCAGCTGAGCCACTTGAGCTGTCGAGAAGATCAAGGCACCGTCCTCATCGCACACGATCGAAGCCAAGTTCCTGTGGTCCAGGCCCACGAAAGCGAGATCGTGCGCGTATCTGTGACGCCATGTGCTTGCATCCGTCACGGAAAGGCCCTCTCCCAAGAAGTCTGGAGACATGATGATGACTGTGAACAAGACCTGCATGGTGGCATTCATGATCATCAGGAAGGCCCCGAAGATGCTCTCCAGGAAATTGTGCTTCGAGAGCACCAAAGGAATGCTCCAAGCACTCTCTTGGTCAAAGCAAATCATGTCCTGAAGAGCACCAAAGGATATATATATATATAGTATGTCTATGTATGTCTACTATAACGCGGCTTTTAACATAGGTTACCAGACCTCCCCGTCCTGATCCCTCCTGATCCCTCCTGCCTCCATATCCGCGTCCACCTCCTCATCTGCATCTCCAGAATCTGCTGCATCTGCACCTGCACCGCCTGCGCTGTCATCTTGCACCATTTTGTTGGGCCAAAGGTCATCCATAACCACTTGGATGTTGTCTTCGCTCCCGTCACCACCCTGCTGCAGGCATCCTGACGGGAGTTCGACGGAGTTTGATTCACAAAGCTAGTAGTGGCAACAGACAAGAAGTCTAAAGCCAAAAAGCATCTTCTTTGCGCATGTTGCGACAGGTCTGAAGTCCAAACAAAAATAGAGCTTGCTGTCTTACTTGATTCGAGCGTCGCAGCTGTTGAAGCTCCTTCTTCACCTGGTCCTTCCACTCTATGACCTCGCGCCTGAGCTTTGCCACTTCATTGTCCACGTAGTCTGTGGGCACCAAGAGATTCTGCATGGCAGCACAGCGATGAACGCGTTCGCTTGGAGCTTGAACAACCAGAACAGGTCAGGAGAGAAAAAGGGGACCGGGGAATGCGGGCACGATGAAGAGCGACTGAATCACCTTCCTACGAACGAATCAAATACGAGGTGCACAGATACGAGGTGCACATGGAAGCTTTCAATCAAGCAAGACATGGGTGGGAGATGGTGTGGGAAGAGAGGCGTATCGTAAGCGCATTCATGCAGTGTGATTGAAAGGAAACCTCGGCGCAAAAGAAAAAATGGCTGCAGCGAATGGCCGGGAGTTAAGTGTCCAACATGGGGATGTTGGCAACACAAATTCTGCTACCGGCCAATGGCGAAAGGGAGAGGCAAGGCTTCACATCGATGTGTAGGGGCAACATGAAGCTGACCGATGCGCCAAATGAAGGGCTAACACGAACACCCACGAACACCTGCAACTCAGCTAGGGCACCCGCCCGCTATAGTATTTTACTAAGGCTAGGTACTCAGCGACTCCCTTTAGTAGTATTAGTAACAAGTGCCACGCTAGTAGTAACAGGTGCCTTACTAGTAGTAACAAAAAGCTATTAATTTAATTTTAATTTAATTCTAATAGCTTTGTTGTTACTAGTAGTAAGGCACTTGTTACTACTAGCGACTCCCTTTCCAGTTTCTCTTCGGCCGCTGGGGGGAGCATCACTCCTCCTCGCCGCTTCGCCCCAAAAACAGCGAGTGATGCGAAGGAGTGATGCGGCTGAACTCGCTCATCCGTGCGATAGAAAGAACCAAATGGATGGTGGGCGGAGAAGGAGAAGATCATGCCTTCTTTTTTCATCTGGACAGAAAGAGCCCGAAGTTGGAAGATCGAGGTCTACCCATACCACCGGTCATCGCTGTTCCGGGTCGGTTAGACCTCGTCACGGCGTCTGGAGCGGGTTCCACAACCATGGCGCTGTTGCCGCTGTTGCCGCTGTTGCTTTTAATCTTTTGTGTTTGAGCTACTAGGGGTGGCCTGTAGAAGAGTCGAGTCTATGTTGGAAGGTATCCAAAGGTCAAACATGCAAACGTAGAAATGATGCGTGTGACAGCAAGGTAAATCTATATCAAACATACAAAAATACGATCGGCTGGCCTTTGGGTTCCTTCGCCGATCTCTATGCTGAAAAAAGAGTCCCTCAGCGTCCTTTTACCGACCTCGAGGGGAAAACTTGTTCGGTCACTCAAAGATCCAACAGGCCCAGCATCGCAAAGATCAAGTGCGCCCAGGAGGGGAGGTAGAACCTGTAGAACCTTTATGGGGTAGAACCAACCCTTGTACCGACTCAAACAGCTTTAAGAACAAACACTTTTAAAGGTTCCTCTCATTGAAAAGGCCGCCGTTTTCGTCTTAGGGTGCCCTCTTCTGACTGGTATTAAGCAGGGAATGAGGAAATGGGCGATCAATCAAGAATCCGTTGGATTGATTTCCTCATTCTTTACGCACCGCACCAGTCAGTCTGTTTTTGGTGCAGAAATGTGCAGAAGAACCTGTGCAAAATCCATCAACAGCTCCGATCAGCGGGTCAAAGTTTCACTCTTCATCCGTGCCGCTGCTCGTCCCATTCCCAGGATCACACGCAACGTGCCCTTCGAACCCTTCGCCTCTCCTCAAGATCATCCAAGACTAAACTCTTCATGCTGCCAGGAGTTCCCTTAGCTTCGAAGCGATCTGATGCAATACGCAAACAGTGTGTATCTTGAAATTGAGACTCAACAAAATACCTCCGGGCAAGGCAAAACCACGGCAACTACACCCACACATTACGTACTCCTTTTCCTAAGTCGGTTGGAGGGCTGCTCTGAAAACGTCGGAAACCTGGCTTGGCAGCCGAGTACCTGGCGCTTGCGCCCGCCGTGTCATGCCGAGCCGTGTCATGCAGTCGGCGGATGGATGAAAATCGCTGATGGCAGGGATGGAGTGACATCCCCGGCCCTGTCGGGGGGGGGGAACTCATGTGATGTTTATTGGCATAGATCCCAGAGATAGAAACAAATACCAAGTAGTTCTAAAAGCACAGGCAGCGGGGACACACTTCAGTCAGTTGGTGTACCCAGTCATTGAAAAGTGTATAAGCAGCCCTATAGCTTTCAGCTATCTGAGGAAAAACAGTTGTCCTTTTAAATGTTAGACTAAGCATCATCGGAAAGCATGAAAAAATTGATGCATTGAAACATGGTGGACATCTTGGATGTCTTTATGTTGCTCCAGGAATCAAGTGGATGATGGTGGTTCAAACTAACAACTGTGACTTTGCAAATGGTTTTGGAGGGTCTAGGACCCAAATGTGCATCAAAACCTCTGCAGCATCCTTGTACATCCAGAAATGAGGTCTCTGTCGTTTTCTTTTTTTCTCTCTCTCACACATACACACACTCAAACACCCGTTGTATGGTGAGCCACCCGTTTGTATGGTCACGACGTGTGGTCTGCGCCGCCCACTTGGGCCCGCCACAGGTGCAGGTGTGGGATGCAAGAAGGGGCTACCTGCGGTGACATCGAGCTGCACATGTCCCCGGTGTAGACATGCACTGGTCCCTGCCCAACACCCGTTTTCTTTGAAGACAACCCAGGTGAGATTTTCTGTTGGAGTTTGACTGCAGTAGTTGCGGAACAGGGGGCACGGCAGCGGACGGTGTCGTGAATGAGTCCGGCAGCCTCGTCTTCGTCGCCTTTTCGAGGGGTGTTTTACTGTCTAAGACTGTCCTTGCGAGGGCACCAGCCACAGGCTCTGGTCTACACTTTTCCACACACTTGACCTGTCTGGGTTCGGACCTGTCTTGAGCTTTGCAGCGTGCAACGAAGAAACACACCTACTCCGCAGCTCCGAACGGAAGGGACCGTGGGAAACAAAGGGGTACGTCTACGTTAACCGAAACGGAGGGGGCGGCCGCCCCAACGGGAACCAAGGCTGGACTCGCTTGGTCGAACCGGCCGACCGCGAAGCTGACCGAAGCTGAGGCTGAGGTGAGATCTCCCAAATCTCTTTTAGGGGTGGGGTCACAGTTCGCCAAAAACACCAGCTGGGTGGCAGTATGGGGCAGTACTTCTAAGTGCACATAGAAATAATCCCGAGTACCTATTAATAAACACTCCCCAATTAAAAAAGCACCATGTCCGAACCCCTAAATTCGGTTTATATTTGGTTTTAAATTGCCGCCCTTTCAAGCCGCTACTAAACTACCAACATGGTCGATTTTGGGGGTAGTTTTTTTTTATTAGGTTCCCCAAAAACAACCGTAACTGCCCACCTCTGTCCGCCCTGTCTATCCACCATGACACGCCGCGCTTACACCAGCAGGCTTTCCTTCCCCCAATGGCACGGACTCACGCAAACGCACTTGCCACCGAGGTCATGCAACACCGCATGGCACAGCGACATCACCTTTCGAAAGCTTTAGCTGTTAGTCTACTGAAGAATCACTAAGACCCTTCGATCTGGAGCTTTTTTGCATTTTTGATACGAGTTTAATAAAGGATTTTATATAAAACTTTACGGATTTACTTTTTGGTTTTGAAGCTCTTCCCAGGTGACCCTATTTTGGACCCCCCGATTTCAGGGACCCCCTATTAGAAAAAATGCGACCGAGGTTTTTTTAATAGGGGGGGGGGGCGTGTTTATTATTAGGAGGACGGGATTACAATTTCTCTTTATTTCTCTTTCCCTGGGCCCGGCTGTCTCTTGGGGTTTGGGAGGCCGTAGACCCGGTAGGTAACCCTTCCAGTTTCACAGTTGTAGCTACGTGAATTCCGCAAGCTACCCCCAACCTCACCCCACACCCACACACACTGTCAATGTGCGCCATCCTTTTCCTCTTTGATGGCCTTGTTTGAACCAGGATTGATCTGTACGGAGAAGGATATATACTGTAATATTTAATATCATGTACAGTAAATCCAAAACTTGAGTGTATCATGAAGGCTGTGATGCTTACCGGGCAGGTTTTAATGCTCAGAAGTCACTGGCTCCGTTCGCTGAAGAAAGGATCAATCCTGGTCGTTGAAGATGCAACGAGAGGAGCTCTGAGAACCGCTCCACTCCTGCACTGGCTCTTCCTTTGGACGCGTTCGAGTAAGGAAGGAAGGTGAGAACTGGCACGGGTCCGGCAAATGAGCGTTTTCCCTCTGACCGGTGTGACCGGTGTGACCTCATCAACATCTTCATCGCTTGGCATCCGTTCTCACTGCTCACGTTTGTTGATCAAGTGAAGTGACACGTTTTTAATCACTTCTCTCTATTCTCGCAAGCTGGACGCCTTCAGCATCTGCCCCGAACGCCCCGAACTCTTTCCGTCTGAAAATTATGGGTCTTTCGAGGTTTCCACTTCAATGTGCAGGTTTCTAGTGGTTATCGTGAGAACAACACCTTCGGGAAAGAGATGCAAGGAGGGATTCCCCAAACGCAAAAAAACAACCTAAAACGCCATAAATTAATGCAAAGTTCCATGAACATCCATGAACGTAATGTCCAAATCATCATGCGATCTTGACCTTTCGGGTTTTCCCTAAACACACAAAAATGTACCCTCGCGCTTGACTCGCCCTCGGCCGGCCCCAGATTTGGGAGATCGGGGGATTCTACCATGCGCCGGAGAACGTCCCCATCCACTTCAGCGGAGGTGTTCCCCGGTCGCAGCGCCGGTTCGGCCGCCGTTGGTTCGGCCGGCGGAAAAAAAAGCAGCAAGGCTCGCTGGGTCGCGAGGCAGCGGGGTCGCACGATGGAGATGAGGATCGGAGGATCTTCGGGCGCTACGCCAATTGCGCATGGTGTTCTGGTGTTGAAGCCAATCATGCAACGCCAAGACTTTGACGAACCTGTTTGGACTGGACTAGTGACACAACCATACACAACCAGGTCAACTCTTTCAGTCAATTGGTCGAAGGGCAGGCAGTCAATCCTTGATCCTTTTGACCACATCCACGGGATCGCCACTGATGATGTGTTGGGGCAGCCATTGGCCAGCACTGGTGTGGCCAGCTTTTCCGAGACAAGCCTGACACATGACGAGACAACGTTTGACATATGAGCTGAGCCGGAAGGATGCACTCAACATCTTCGGCAGAAAGACTCGTCAAAGCCTCAAAATCGATGGTTGGTTTAAAAGGTTCCCTGATGATGCAAAAGGAGCTTGATCAAACGAACAATAGCTGGAAGATGCTGGATGTATTGTTGCTGCTCGAAGAAGGACATGGGAATAGTCTATTCCAGACAGTCAATTTCACAAACTTCACACGCCATAACAAAGGACTAAGGCTGTGAACCCGGATCCATATCTACGACCTCTCTGCCCTGCTTTGGCTTCTGCCAAACACAAAAAACATACATGAACAATTCTCACGTGCACGTGCCAACGTCCAGGTGGCACACCTTCCTGACAACGGCAGCTCGCTGGCAGCGGGAATAAAACACTCCTGACTCCTGTTTTCAATAAGTGGAATATGATAAGTGGAAGATCGATGAACAAGTTTGAAACCACAAAAAACATCATTTCAAGTTTCAAGCAAGCATGACAAGTTTCCAATCCTATGCTGGCCTCTTTGTTCGCAGTTCCAAACGAAAAGCAAAGCAATCAATGTCACAGCCTTCGGGCCAACTTCGCTGCCATCACAGCCGGTGCAAGGTGGACTCCGACTCCATCCTTCAATGAAAGTCCTCCACTGGGATTTATTCTTTGCCAAAAAAAACACAACGACTTCATCAAAGCACTTCTGTGCCAAATGGTGAAGAAGCGCCACGTGACTTGTGTTTGGTTGAGGCAGATTTCAGAGAACTGCGTGCTACCCATAGTTCTTCGAGTTGGGCCTTGCCAGCACTTGCACCATGTTGCACCTCTGCTTTCAAAACTAGCACAACTCTGCACGACTGGCCCAAGCAGCTTGGCCAAGGGCAAATACTCCTTGACCCCAAACGAGAACCCAAGAGGAGTCCTTCCACCAGCCGGATCGAGGCCGGTAGGGTCTCATGGCCCGCCCTCTTAGGCCACACGGGTCTGCGAGAGCTTGTTCAGCAACCTCAACCGTGTAGACCTGGGACCCAGTCGTCGTCCGAGCCTGTGGTCTGGCTTCCCCACCCCAAACGAGCCCGTGTTGGCTTTGAACACCCTTCCCATGCCTTATGATCCTTATGTCCATTCCTTATGTCGACCTGTTGAAGCATTAATTAAAGCAACCTAAGCCACGAGGTCGACGCCATCGCAACGTCCCAAGTTCGGACGCGGGACCGTGTTCGATCGGTTCCGGGTGGGTTCGCTCCGCTCCCACGACCCGGGGACCAACGTTCCGGTGGGTTCAGAGGGACGTCGGGAGGAGAGAGTGAGGACTAGCTGCCTAGCTCCTATCGGCAGGTCAATGCCAAATGTGATTCAACTTCAACTTCCACATCTGACTTGCCCATGAAGTAAGACGACCAGACTTCCACATCTGGATGTGATCTGACTGCCATCTGAGACCAGACTCAATCCGAATAAGTCCGGCTGGTGGGGGGATGTTCGCCGCTGTTCCGGACGCCGGACGGGAAAAAAAGGTGCTTCTGTGAGGTCGTGGGGTCGTCCGGCCTCGTGGGGTCGTCTTCAGCTGGCTCTTCCAACTCGGCCATCAACTGCTTCACTGTCTTGAACCTGAGGGAGAGCGTTTCTACAGAGCCTGACGATGCGTTGCGACAGAGTTCGGGCGTGAAACGAACACGTTTTGGGGCGTCTTTGGGAAAGAACACGTGAAACGGGCGATGTGTTCTTTTTGATTTTGCGGGGGATGTGACTGGATGTATGGTCGGCCTGAACAAGCCATTGATCCCCATCAAAATCATCAAGGCCAACCTGACACAAAAGTCGGGTCCCTAGAACAAAATCCACCTACTAAAGTACATGTTCGAGACATAACTTGAAGGGTTGGCACTATAGTGTTCCCCTCTCTTACTAGAATCGGCACTAATAGCACTGGGCACTATAGGTCTTCTTCTGTTCTCTTCATGTCGATGAAGTGGCACGGGCAAATGAGCAACTTGCATTTCAATAGTGAGCTCCCCTAAGCCAATTGGGTTTTGGAATGCTTTAGTCTATCTTTGCTGTCTCAGTAGCTTGCAAGGCTGAGTTTGCAACTTTATCAGGAATGAGTTGGGGGTGATTGGGGAGTGCCGCGGAATCATTGCCAACAGGGTGTAGAATCATTCATATTTTGCTGCTCTGAACAACCTGTGGAAATCACACCAATAACTAAAGTTCTCTGCGTGTGTATAAATTGAATTTGAATGCTTTGCGATGTACCAGTTTACAATATTCTAGGATACATAGGGCGCATAGTAAAATTACGTATGAACTACTTTTCCCAAACCGAAAATGCCAAAGCACAACCTCTCAATATCTGCCACATGTCTCCACTTCTCCACTGATGCCTCACAAAGACTGCCCAGGCACATCCGTTTCTGGGTCAACTTTCGACCAGGTTGCATGGTGCCTTAGTAAGCTGACGTTGATTTGGACACTTGTTTG